CCTCGCGCTCCGCCTCGGCTCAGGACAGTGAGGCTGACTTTGCGCGGCTGGCCGAGAACCTGGCGTTGAAGTCGGATGCTAAGGTAAGTGGGAACGGAGCAGAGAGAAAGAGAGAGAGACAGAGAGAGAGAAACCCAGAGTCAGAGAGAGAGAGGAGAGAGAGGAAGAGAGAGAGAGAATATGAACATTTTTAGGGAGCCTTCTCCTTCGATCATGAAGACGATGAGGAAGAGCATACCCCAGTGCAGAATCGAAGAAAAACGCTGCAATCCGATGCCGACAACCACTCGACAACTCCGAAAATTCCGCTACCAATGAGAGGAAAATTAAAGGTAGATACAAACGATTCAAATAAAATTGCATTGTTCCATGAATGGTTTTAATTGGCTTTAATAGCAAAAAAATAGTCTCCAGATAGCCTAAATATGGCTAAAACCCTCGAAAACTGTGTATTAATCTCTGGGACTATAACTCTGAATTCTGATGTTATTAGAAGTTGCTCAAGATCATAAAAGAAAAGGGTATGCAGCCTGTATATCCCTAAAATTCAGCTTTCCTCCCTCACCGACACCAGCGGCAATTTCATGAGCGGCTTTAACGGGCTGGCCGAAAAAAGCTCGGGCATTTTCAGCCAGGTTCGCGCGACTGTCTGGGTGGAGTGTTGTGTAGTCATTGTGGCGCGTGCTTGTGAATTGTCAAAAAAACGGTTAAAATGCAAAAAAAAATCGAATTTGTAGGTGCTGAACAAGACTGGCGGGCTGAAGCAGGCGCAGGCGATCAGGGATAAGGCTTTGAAGCCGCTGGCAAATGCGACGGCAAGCAGGATAGAGCAAAGTCAACATGCTGTCAAGTCAAAGACGCAGGGTGTCCAGACATCGGCACAGACGGCGAATCAACAAAGGTAGATGACGACTTACTTGCTTGAATAAGCTTAGGCTTAGGCTTAGGTTTAGGCTTGGGTTTAGTTTTCTCTTAGGCTTAGCTTAGGCTTAAGATGAGGCTTAGGTTTGGGCTTAGGCTTAGGGTTAGGGTAAGCTTTGCTAGACATGGGCTGAGGCTTAGGTGACATGCTCTCTCACTATATCTATCTCTCCCTCTCTCTCTCTCTCTCTCTCTCTCTCTCTCTCCCTAACGTCATACCTTTCAGCAAAAACCAACAGGCCGTCCGCGAAGTCTGCGATGCTATTCTGGCCGGCCAGGGTATCGGAATGTTCGCGTACCCCAAATTTAAGGTATGCGTTTGGATTATGGATAGATTTTTAGCGTGGTTTTTTAGAGACTAATGGAAGATGAGAGCCTCCGGGAATTGGTGTGCTCCAAGCTGAACCTTGGTCTGGAGAACAAGCTTACCGAGGAGGAATACGTGAAGGAATTCGTAAGTTTTGCCCTGTTTGTCATCAGTAAATTCATGTAGTCCCCTTTAGGATCTATCAAATTGTTATACAACAATTTTTTTAGCCCCTGACCCGAGCGCAATACAAAGGTTACGTCAAGGTGCTGCAGGCCTGTTTGGCTGGCATCGAGGTAAGTGACTTTTTTTTGGTTTGGCTGGCTCCAGCTCTACATATCTCTCTCGTTCTCTCGCTCTCTCTCTCTCTCTCACTCTCGCTTACATACTTTTTTCAGCTCTCATTCAACACCCCCGGATCCAACGGGTTGGCGAGCGTTTTTCACGTCCTGGAAATTGCTCACACCCACTTCTGGAGTAGGGACGACGGCTCGATGACGCCGGCTAGTCAGCCTAATTCAGTCGTAAGTAAAAAATACCGTATTTTCAAAAATTGTTTCAGTTAAATACGCCATCTGCTTCGTCTCACGACTTCCAGCAAATGCAGGTATGATTTTGAATCGTTCTCTATCTCACTCTCGCTTTCTCTCGCTCTCTCTCACTATGTACCTTTGTCACTCTCTCGCTGTTTCTTGCGCTATCTCTCTTCTGTCTCTTTCTCTCTCTCTCTCTCTCTCTCTCTCTCTCTCTCGCACACACCTGAATCCTGTTCTTCCAGCCACGCCAAAAACTACCGGCCACCTCGTTCGACATGCGTGCCAGCCCGAAACCCATTGGAAAAGTGCCAAATGGAGAACCAGCTCAGGGGCCGAGCTCGTCAGAAAAGCCAACAGAACCGCCGGGACCACCCCAGAAACAACCGACAGTAGTACCATTCGGGATTCCTGGAAATACAGCTCCTCCTCCACTCCCGAATCGCCCTGCCCCTCCTCCACTGCCGCCACGAGATCCACCAGCTTCTCCGCGCCCTGGGAGTTCCACATCTTCTGGACCTCCACCCTTGCCAGCGAGGCCTGGGAGCGAAGGTATGTAGAGTTAGATTAAACGAGGTATGAATTGGGGTGTAGAAAGTAGCTAGAAGAAATTTGTAAAATTTAGTATCGTGTTCAAAATTGCTAATACCTATCAAAAAATCTTTGGAGCACATGCTCATAGGCTAGCAGCGTTTCTTGTGGAAACAGATTTGCGCTTCAGCACCTAACGAATCTATTTTAGCATCCTCTTCATCCGGAGCGATACCTCCAATGCCACCCCGACCTCCGCCTCCACGCCAGGAGAGCATACAAGAAAACAGCAAGCTGGCGAGGGAAGCGAGTATCGAGAGCAGCAGCAGCTCGTCACAACGGACACAATTGGAAAAGCTTCGGGTAGGTGGGAGAGAAAGGGAGCGAGAGAAAGGGAGATAGAGAGCGAGAGGGAGCGAGAGAAATAGAGCGATAGAGAGAGAAAGAGAGAAAGTGAGAGGGACAGAGTGAGAGAGTGAGTGAGAGAGACAAGTCTATCTCAAAAATTCAGATGCCACTTTCCCTGCCCGTCGTCTCCAACAGCGCCTCGACATCCCCCAGATCTATCGCCACCCCGATGGAGCCTACCCGACACTACATCTACCAGGATTTGATATGTACGTTTTAGCTATTACGCACCTAGTTTGATATCGTAGCGGTCGCATAGCTATAACTTTAATGTATGAAAAATATTCCAATGAGGCATTTGCTAAAAATCAAACTTTTTAGTGCCAAGCCCCAATCCTCTTTGGCAAAACACGGTGTTCTGGGAGAACGCCTTCTACGATGTTGTCGGGCAAGAGAGGGATATCATTGGCATGGATCAGGAGCCGAGCGAGATGATTGATAGGTTGGTAATTCGTGGTGTTCGTGCAGTTCGAGCCAATTGCATAGCTGGAGCGGCTTCGGGAAATTTAGGAAGTCAAGCAAGTCCAAAAGCAAGAGAAATGAATTGCTCGAACTCTCTCGAACCGAACTCGAACCCCCCAAAAGCTTTGAATGACTTAACTTGGGCAGCTAAAAACGATTTGACAAGCTCTGGGCCATACGCTCCTGAACCACTTGAACTTGAGCAATATCAACTTTTTTTCCAGATACGCCACCCTATCCGATAGTGAGAGAAAGCGGTTAGAGCTGGAAGAAGATCGGTTACTATCCACACTTCTCCATAACCTGACCGGCTACATGATCATGTGCGGAACGGGGCAGAAGGCTATTCAACAGGTAGTTGATTGGATTTGCCGCTGTTCTCTCTCTCTCTCTCTCCCTCTCTTCCTTCACCTCTTCTTTTCCAGAAAATCCGCCGCCTCCTCGGAAAATCCCACATCGGTCTCGTCTGCTCCAAAACGATCAACATCTTGTTGGACGACTTGCCGCAACAGGTAATTTTGCATAATTCTAAAAGTTTTATTCATGCACGCCAAGTTCATACATTTTTAGCGTGCTACTTTAGTGGTAGTTTGGAATTGACCTGCAATGATACATCGCTGAAATTCAATAAAACTCATGTTTCGAATATATTAACTATTCAAAATTTTTTTGCTGGTATTAAAAACCCTAAAATTCCTTTTTTTTCAGCAAGGCAACGGTATCCCGCTAAAACCGCTGGGAAGTCGATTGGTGCAAAAACAGTCCTTCACCGTCTACGCCGGCTCGAATGCCCAGGGAACGATGATGTTCTTGGAGGTAGAGGTCATCCAAAAAAAAGGAAAATAATCTATATTTTTCAGCAATTCTTTAGTCAGGCAAACTTCCTCTTCATGTAGAGAGAGACAATACGTCCATATCCGGTTCATAGAGATCGATAGAAAATAGAGAAAATTTAATTCATAGTAAGGGGTTGATCATTCAATTATGTAGTTTGAAGCCTCAAAATTACACATCTTAGCACTCTACAATCTATAAAATTCACACTTGTGCTCAGTTTGTACCTTGTAGTCTTAGAATTTGATCGGTTTCTCTAAAATTAAGATTTTTTGGGCTACAAACTACAAAATGTTCCTTGTTAATAGAGTTCACCGGCAAGCTTCTCAACTATCGCAAAATGTTAACGCCAAATTTCGGGTAACTGTGGTATTATTTAAGGTATGCGACGACGCGGTAGTACTTCGAGCGGTGACCGGTGCTGTGACTGAACGGTGGTGGTACGAGCGGCTGGTGAACATGACGTATTCCCCGAAGACGAAAGTGTTGTGCCTGTGGCGACGGCATGAGGATAAGGTCCACATGGACAAGTTCTTCACGAAGAAGGTGAGGAAACGCCCCAACGGCGCACTAATGGCGAACTAATGGATGTCACATTGCTTCATTCATGTAGATTCACCTTTTTCACGACTTTTTAGCGCGCTTATTGAAAACTAAAGTTCCATAAAAATTGCTACTGGTCGATACCTTTAACCCTATTTTCAGTGCCGTGAGCTCTACCTTTGCATGAAAGCAGCAATGGAAAAAGCGGCAGCTAGAGGAAGGGTATCGGTTGAGGGCCGAGACCTTGGCGGAGAGTTCCCGGTACACGACACCGAGACGAATCAGGGAGGGTTGATGCAGGTAAAAGAAAGAGAGAGAGAGAGAGAGAGAGAGAGGGGGGGAGAGAGATAGAGATAGAGAGAGCAAATCAAGTTTTCCTTCAGGTCCGCATCGACGGCATCGCCATCCTGTTCGAAAACTCGCAAGTCTTTATCGAACTCGCCAACATCAAAAAGTGCAACACCTACGGCGGCAACTGCTTTGTTTTGGAGGAATTCGGTATGGATAGCCCTAAAACTTGAATGCTCATAATTCCAGATCGTAAAAAGGGTGAAATGGTGCAGCGGCGGTACTTCTCACAAATGGTAGGTTTTCACTTAATCGCCAAATAGTTTTTGTGGTGGTTTGAGCATGCGTGGTGGTAGTGGTGGTTGGACTAGCTTAAGCTGCGAAAATTGGCTTTGAAACTTAGATTCAAATTTCGCTTAACGATTTTAAAATGCGGAAAATATTTTCTAGCGACCGAATTCTAATCTTCGCTACCATGTGCTGTCCTTAATGTGCATACGATATATTACGCCTCATAATTCAAAGCCTCCATTAATGCGCCCTAAAACGATATTCTTACGCGTTTTCTCGACATCAGTTAGCTACCGTATGCTCTCCTTAAAGGGCACGTTCAGGGACGTTTTTTGGAAAAAAAACAAAGATTTTTGCCGCGGCCGGGCGTCGAACCCGGGCCTCCAGCTCGGGAGGCGCGGATGGATACCATTCAGCCACAGCTAGAACCTGGCGAGGGGGTGAGGGCGCCCCATGCCGCGAAGGAGGGAAATTGCCTCCCACGGCACGGGCAGGCAGCGCGCGCGGTCCCTACGTCCATAGGGTGTACACGTTGCGACGAGTACACGGCCCCTCCCTGAACGTGCGTTTTAATGCGGATATTGGTCTAAATTGGATACTTTTGATGAAGCACTTCAAAGTTTAAATTAATATGCAATAAACCCGACTTTTCTAAATTTTCTATAAAAGCCCTAAACTACATTATTTTCATCTTCTTGCCATTGGTTTTGGGGGTCTATGCTTTTTAACCAGCGTAAAACGCATGATTTTCACGAGCGCATACAACTCCCATTAATGCGGGAAGGATAGGGCGAAGGTCGCATTCATTCATTAATGCCTAAAACCTAGTGCATTTCCGCTTTCTAAACCGCACTAACCCAAACAGCACCCCCTTCTCCAGGCCTCTTCGATAGCATGGTGTCTGCACCGGGTGTTCACTGTCCAGCTTGCACTCCAAAATCGAGGCGGGAAGTCGGCGTCGACGACGGCTACGGAAGACTCCGGGATCCTGATTCAAATTGATGATGAGGAAGATGATGATGGGCATAAAGAAGACATGAACCTCACGATTAGCGCCGCCGCACAACGAAGACTCCTTGCTGATGGCGCTCTGATCGAGTTTTAGCATGTTTTTTGATGTTGTAATATGGAATTTGGGGGATTCGAGGTGGCTAAGGTATCCACATCACTTTGGAACACTTTAGAACCTGGTTTCGTCATTCTAAAAGCTGAAAAATTGTCCTGATCACGCAAAAAATATCCTACTATAAACCAAAAAATAGAAAATTATAAAAATATTGCTCCTTTGCCTAATTTTTGTATTTTTTGTACGTCCTACCCCTTTTTTCGAAATTGAATTTTATTCATGTGTCAAAAAACTGCATAATGTCGACGAAATCACTTCGATTTCTTGCTTTTCGCAATGTTTTTCGAAATTATTTAAGTTTCAGAATTAATTATCATTGAAGGTGCATTTAAGAGAATTTCAACCTTTAACCAACTATTTAAAATTTTGATACGAAATAGGCATTTTTTAAAACTCGAATATCCCAAAACATCTGTTTTTTTCCGCATGCAATTTTATTGTGGTCTCGTCTGACCATCTTACACGTTGTTGTTCTCTATCCGGTGCCCCAACTGCCGTACCCCTCCACTACCGTACCCCCTTCCAGGCCGATCAAATTTGCTACGCCGTGCTGTGCGTGTTCAGCTTTGTCGCCGCCGGCCAGAAGAATCAGGCCTCTCCGAAAAAGTTGGAAAAATAGAATATTTAGAGGCGTATTTTAGAGGTAGTAGATTTTTAATGCATTCGAATTACCTATCGTAATCGGTGAATTTTATAAAATTTCTCTCAACATTTCCGATCGATTCCTTATTGCGTATTTATTGTAGTGCGTAGTCGAATAGTGTCTTTCCGCCCCCTCCGTCTATTAACGGCTCAACAATTCACTCGCATTAGCATTCCAAAAAATTGATTACATTCCAAATATTGTTTTCAAGGGGTAGTGAAGGCAAGAACGCCGATCGATTATACATCTTAAACAATTCCTAATCTTTTAGTTTCAAAAAATAGTAGAAACCGACTTTTTCTTGCCGTCACCATCCCTTTAAAACACCCCGCTCTCACTTCCTACCAAAGCCTGAAACCACAGTATTACCTATACCTATTTATTGCCTATCGTAATCAGTTACGCTAGGTATATTTCGATACTTATTGAAAGTGAGCCATCTTACATTTTATTTTTCTATTTTTCTATATTTTTATATGTTTGAATTGGGTACAACGTAGCTTTATTTATGCCGTTGAAATTCGCAATAAAGAGTTTTGAGATTTGTGCTCATCGGCTCACATCAAAGATTTTCGATTCAACACAAAACAAACACTTCTGCATTCAATAAAAAAAATCTGTGAATCGCAAACAAGGAGAAATATTGATTTTAAAGAAAAAGACCGCGAGGGAATCGTCAATTTATCTATCCTGATTTTGGTTTTTGCTAAAAAAATATGGGAAAATACTATATTTTTCTGCTGGCTGCTATTCTCTGCTTAATTGGTAAGTTTTCAAAAAGTCTATAAACTTCACCAGCGCTGGAAAGTGGGCCGTTAGACTCCGCCTTAGATTTAGGGCAATTTTAGACAGAAAGCCGCTCAAACCGTGTCTCAAACGTGATGTTAACTCGGGCGTTATAGCTAAAAATAATGACAGTCTTCCGAATTATAGGAATTCGCTCTTGATTAAATGAATTATAGTAATTTAAAATACAGGCTGTTCCAATGGAAAAGCACCCGTCACTAAAACGACGTATAGAAGTATCGGATCGGAATGATGGTTAGACCATTCGAAAGCCCTGAAAACGGCGAGCTTGCATCAACAAAAACCTGTTTTTGGCTAAACTCCCTATTTTACAAACCATTTTTTAAGATTTTCCGATTTTTCGGGGTTGCAAACGAGCTAATTTGCCTTAACTTCACCAAACAAAATTATTGGAGGTAGCCGTTAATTTGGTGCAGAGAACGTTGCATAATGTTTTCGAATGCGATTTAAAATTGGGGGTCCAGATAAAAACATCATTTTGAACACTGTTGCAAACCTGGCCGTTTTAAGGGCCTTCAAATCGTGTAGCTATCGTTCCGATTCGATACTTCTTCGGCGAGTTGGAAAGAGGGGGTGTTTTTTATTGGGACCCCCTGTATGATTTAAACATTTTTTAGGTAGAATATACTCATGTCCGGCCGAATATGGGTATTAAAATTCGGAAAATTTTTGTAACGCATTTTTTAGGGAGGATGTAGGCGTGGATTTTGCGGGTGCCGGCAAACCAACAGGCAAACAAACGAAAGGCATGAAAACTACTCAAAAATTCTTAAAATTATTTTAGCCCCTCTGGACTGCACCAAATGCGTTGACCCGGTTGTTGCGCCGGGAATAACGTACAATTTTCGATGGAATAGAAAAGGGTGCAAAGTGGTGACGTTTCTGGGATGTGAAACACATTATTATGAGTAGGTTGTCTGCTTTTTGAGCTCGTTTTATAAGATTTTAGTAGTTATTTATTTTGGTGCCTTTTAAATGAGCATAATAGGCTTCCTTTAATAGAATTTACAGATCTTATTTTCCTCTATTTTCAGGATCGAGGGCCTGATTGGTGGGCTGGGTCCGCTACATGCTTGCAGGTACATTCCTGGAACTGGATATACCTGGTATGGTGCTCTTGATGCCTCTTTAGAACATTTTTTAAACATTTAAGGAAATGCGTTTTTAAGGTGGACGCCCGGACTGAACGCCACGCAAAAAGTCAGTTGCTGGATTGGAACTTCAAGAAACTAATCTCAAATCCGGCTAACAAAAACTGAATAAAAATTATTATTGTTACGAAAGCAGCGGATTAACAAAAAGGCAAGCTAGCAGACGTCCTTTGGGAACTTAAAACACAAAAATGGGCAGAAAACGTAAAAAATTTGAAACTTAAATTTGCATCATAGACCTCAATAGCAACTCGGGAAAAATCGAATTGGCCTTCATTTCCATAAAATGTTTGGTCGTCGAGGGCCACTTGGCTTTCTTCTGCTCTTCTTCCTCGTCCTCGGCGAAGTCGTCGCCCAGCTCGAGGATGATCACAGGCACAGATTCGCTATAAAGAAAAGGAACTTTCTCAGAACCGAGAAAAACGAAAAGGCCGTCTCGCCGGCCGATGTTGATCCTTATGATGACGACGGCTGGCTTCACCTCGCTCCTCGTGACGGGATCGGGGCTACGGTAAGACTTCTAGAGTTTGGAATCCGAAACGATCTATGCTAGCCTTTATAAAGCACCTGTTCAGGTACCACGGAGCTCCGACGACGGCAAGCCGTCCATCGTCGAGTCAGATTTTGGCGACGACGATGACGACCACGACCACGATCACCATGAAGACATAGTTCCTGGGAGCGCTGCAGAGCCAGTGAGGCTCTTCCCGGATGAGTCCCCCGAGACCGAGACGATCAAGGAGAACGCCGAGGGCAGCAAGGAGGACACCGTGGCACCTAGTGCCGTTCCCACGTCTCCACCAAGCAAGCCGGCGACAAATGGTGAGAGAGACCGAGAGAGAGAGGGAAGAAGAGAGAGATAGAGAGCGATATCGAGAGATAGAGAGAGAAAGAGAGAGATGAGTGAATTATATATCTTTTTCTTGTAGGCCTCATGTGGGTGCTGATCATCGATGGCATCATCATTACGTTGGTGGCCGCCGGAGTGGCGTTTTTGGTCTGGTATCACAGGTAGAATTGATTTCATTACTTGTTCTTCCATAAAAAAAGTTTCATTTAAATTCACGCCCTTTAGAAGAGTGCAACGACGCGACAGTACCCTAGACAGTCTCCCGCCCGGCATCTTCCCCGACGGTTACATCCCCGAATCGGCGACGCTGCCGGATGGGGTGATGGTCAGAAACACCTTTTTTGGCTCAAGTCTAGGAAACCCCCCCCCAGCCGACTTTTCAACTTTTCTACCTACTTTATCTTTATTTTTCACTACTTTTTTCGATTCAACTGCAATGTAGTCTTACTAATTAGCCTAAGGCGAACATTTTGGTATACTTTAGAGCTCGCTAGCACAAAGGGAGACCGAGATACAAAAGTTGGTGCCGGCTGGGGGGGGGTTTTCTAGACTCTTACCCCTTTTTTTAATCTATTGAATTTCTAGATGGTACCCGCGAATACGCCGCTGCCCGGATGAGCCGGGCGCACCAATGAAACGCCGACGCACCACGTCGAAAAACATTCAACCTGACTAGCCACTCTCAATTCTTTTCTTTCAATCGATCCGTTTCTGTGACATTGGCTGGTTGAATAAATAATTATTGGCAGTTTTTGGAGAAAAGCAGCTTTCTCGCCTCATCTCTCTCTATCTCTCTCCCTCTCTCTCTATCGTTCTTTAGCTTTCCCTATTCCGCTCCTACTCTTTCTCTCTTTCTCTCTCTCTCTCTATCGTTCTCTTTCTCTCACGTTCTCTCTCCTTGCTCTCGATCTCTCGCTCTTTCTAGCCCTGGCTCTCTGTATCTCTTGCTCTTGCTCGCTCCCTCTCTCTCTCTCTCCCTCTCTCGCCCCCGCACTCTCTCTCGCCTCCTCTCGCCGATAATAGCCGTATGGATGATCTGTGATTTGCATAAATTACTTCGATCCTCATTTTCATAGTTTTGCTGTATTTTCTGCCACTTTCTCACATTGCTCGATGATAGGCGGGCGCCGGGGTTTCGAGCGCCACTTCCTGCTGCTGCTCATATTTTTCTGTATTCCGCTCTCTGCCCCTATTTCCGCCCAAGGCGCCCTATTACGCGCTCAAGAGCCGCTACAAGATGCTCCAAGAAACCTTACAGCGAACGTTACATCCGATGAAAGGTGATTTTTACTCTGAAATTATGCAATTTTGGGATTAAAATCTTTATTCTTGTCGTTTAGAGACACACCTATCTGCACTGGCAGCTGACGCACCCGATATAAAACCACCAAAGAAAAAAGCGGCAGGTTTTTGTAGTAGGCTTGGCTTAGGCCTAGGCTTAGGCTTCAGCTTAGGTTTCAGGCTTGGGCTCAGATTAGGCTTAGCTTAGGCTCAGAATTAGGTTAGGCTTAGGCTCAATGGGCTTAGCCTTAGGCTTCTCTTTCGGCTTAGGATTAGGCTTAAGCTTAGGCTTATGAGTACGCTTCGGCTTCGGCTTACGTTTAGGCTTAGCTTAGGCTAAGGTTCAGGCTTGGACGTAGGCTTAGACTTCATCTGTCATTTCAGTGCAAGGGCGACAGAAAATTTGCCTGCTGGGCCAACGAATGGCTCACCGTGCAGAAATTCGCAACCTTACCCGTAAAAGATGTAAGTGTTGCGGTCAATTTCCATTGACCACTTTTTAGTGTACACCCTGTGATGCAAAAGCTGTCAAATCGTGTGAAGCGGATGCGAAGTTTTCCATGGAAAATGGCAACTTGATGACAAAGTGCAAGCCGAGCCTGTTTTGTGTGGGTAGCTTCAGAATACCCGTAGTATACGCAGGTCCGAAAAATGGCGAGCCTTTAGGAAGACCTCAAAAGCCCGGCCACCGACTGCATTCGTGCGGTCGAATACAACGTTGGAAGTAAATTTTGGTTGTATTAAAATTTTGTTCTGGGTTAATTCGTATTATCCGGTATATGTCGGCTACGCGGGGGGAATTTTACGCGGGGGGACGGACTGTTGGGGCCGGGCTAACTATTTTTTTGCGCTTCTTTTTGCTACCAACAAAACTCTTAGTATATTTTTCGACGCTCTGTCGAATGACGCTAAAGAAATTTTGTAAAAATGTCGAAAATGTCGAAAACTTGATTTCCTTCTCTGTCCTCCATTGAAACAACGTTTAATACTTGTTTTTGTCACAACTATTTTATATTACATTATTTTAAGCTAAAATTAAGACTCTTAGTATATTTTTGGATGCTCTATCGAATGGCATCTATAAAATGTCGAAAAAATAGCGCGAATGTCGAAAAACAGCCGCTCAAACCGATTTTCAAAGCTTATTTTTGTATTGGCTATAACTTTTTTATATTACACTAATTTGAGCTAAAACAAAAACTCTTAGTATATTTTTCAATGCTTTATCGAATGCCGTTGCAAAAATTCCCAGAAAATCACGAAAACATCCAAAAAGGCCTGCCTGTCCCGTCCCCCCCCGCGTAAAATTCCCCCCGCGTAGCCGACATATACCGTATAATCCATGAACAAAACCAGGATTACACTCAAGACCGTCATTTTCAGCAGATGACGTCAGGATGGTGCTCTTCCCCTTCAATTTGTGCACACCAGCGCTGAAACAGGAGGGCGGCTGTGATAACGGGTCGGTGGGGAGAGAGAGAGAGAGAGAGAGAGAGAGAGAGAGAGAGAGAGAAGGGGAGAAATGGATGTTTCGATTTTTAGGGAAAGCACAGTGCCACCATACGATCCTGCGAGCCCGCATTACGGCATCGAGTACTACTACCAGTGCGACGCCGGCTTCACCGTGCCAAAGTGGGAATATATTGATCCTTCCCGTTCTCGCTCTCTCTCTCTCGCTCTCGCTCTCGCTCTCTATGCACTATCCTACTATATATAAAAAAATAGTGTTTGTGTGTGTGTGTGTGTGTGCCACTTTGCATCCACTTCCGTGTGTCTGTCCGGAGGATATCTCGATGGGGGATGACTTTTAAGGTATGTGTGATACGTCATTAGGTGCGCAACGGTCTTGAGATGACTGCACACATATCAGATTTTACAAAATCAGCTGTTTTCGACATTAAATTTAAGTTTTTGTGAAAACCTCTTTGTTAGGAATAATTAGCATAGGCCGGAAGTGGGAAGTCGACTATATAAAGGGGCCGAAGAGGGCGTTTTTCATTTTTTTGCCCAATTTAGGACAGTTATGCAAAGTGAAGGATAAAGAGGGGGTGAGAGGGGGGCCAGGGTTGAAAAGTCGCGAAGCGGCTTTTCAACCCTGGTCTATTTTTAGAGACGTTGCGGACCCTAAACAAGGCTGCGTCCCGAACCTGCTGATGGCCGCCGGTTTCGGCACCGTCCCAGAAGTACCAATCCCGGGCGATGGGCTTCCCTATGAGAACCCGAGTTTTAAGGTATGAAACTGAACGATACCTCACCCTTTAACTACCCGATCTTATCATTTTAAGTTCTGCGCCTTCAACGAAAAACCGGCGGGCGAGACGCCGTGCGAGCCGGTCCCGCTGTGCGAATTGACGTTGGCTGAAGGGTTTTCGATCACAAAAGTCTCAATTTCAGGCGCCCGGCCAGTTTCGACGAAAGTAAAATACCGACAAACCCTTGCTTCAAAATCTGCAAGTACTCTTCCACCGTCGACGAGGAATGCGTGCCACTGGAAATCCTGGATGGCGAGCATGTGATATCGGCATATCGAAGAGGGGTGAGTGGGATGGAGATAGAGAGAGATAGAGACAGAAAAGGAGAGAGAGAAAGAGAGACAGAGGGAGAGAGAGATAGAGAGATATTTAATTGTTTAGTCTGGTCCCTACGCCGAGCTGCTGACGGACGAGGAGACGCTGCAGCTCGACTTCGCCCCCACCGATGCCATCAAGTACCCAAAATGTGTCAAGGCGGAGAAGTTGTCGGAAGTCGGGAATTAGGGCAATAGCCACCTTAAGCTTTTTTAGGACCAGCAGAAGCTCGTCGCCGTCAATCGCTTCCTAAACTGTGACCTGAACCCATTCTACGACGCCGGCAACAATCTGGCGATGATGTTGGAGCCGGTCGACTGCAAGGAGGGCGAGGATCCGAAAGTGAGGATGTTTTCCATCAAATTTTCCGCTAGTTTGCCTTCAATTCCTAAGCAATCTCCGCTAGTTTGCCTACAATTCCTAAATGGTCGCTGCTGGTTGCATTCAATTCCCAAAGCATCTCTGCTAGTTGCCCCGTCAGGTATCGTGGTTCTAGCTCTAATTTTCGACAATTTCCTGTTTTCAGAAGTTTCTCTGCATCCCCGCCGCCACGACTACCAAGGAGCCGGCGTCCAACTCCCCAACTACCCCGTCAACCACAACCAGTACAACTACGACAATCTCAGATGGTCCAGCTCCGCCTTCCACGGCTTCAACAGTCCCGCTTCCGTCACCTGGAAGTTCGACATCACCGCCCAAGCCAAGTCCGCCCAATCCGAAGCCTACAAAAAATGCTACGAAACCTCCAACTGCACCTCCAAAGAATTCAACTCGGAATCACACTTCTCCGCTTCCGGGGCCGAAATGGGTGGCCGGCCAGGGCGAGCCTTGCGGAGGTGGTAGATTCGGTACTGGACTGTTAGCAGGGGGTATTTTTAGCACGGTGCAAACTAATTTTTCCAAGTAATCCGGTACAACCCTATGGGCATTTTATACGCTCAAAAACAAATAGAAATTGTCGATAAATGTGGGATTTTTGGTCATAAGCCCAAAAAAGTAAATTTGGTAAGACTAAAAACAAAAAATAAAAATAATACACAGGTGTGTAAAGTATACCAAAATGTTCGTCTTGCTGTGGCGAGTATTTTCGTATACTTGACACACTTGTAGATGAACAGGGAACCGAGATACGGTAGGTGGGGCTCGGCTGGGGGGGGTTATCTGGAGTTTAGCCGTAAATTTTTTCAAATTTTGAAAAATTTAACATATTTCCTCTAACTTTGATAATAAAGAAAAACTAAAAAAACCATAAAAATACGCTTATTATTATTAACAGTAGGCATACACGAAAAAAAAACAAAAATTAGCTACCCCCTTGCCAACCATCCCCGCCCCTGCTAACAGTCCAGTACCGTAGTTTCTGCTGACTTTTTTTCAAAATCTACTACCTTAGGCATGTTCTTCTTCGGCTTCTTCCTGGGGACGATCTTTGGCGTGATGTTGATGATCGGCGTGGTGGCGATTTGGCATTTGTTTAAAAAGTGAGTGGCAATTACCTCAAAGGGGACGGGTAACATTACTTGGAAAATTTCTTACTGCTTTTCAGGAAACCCCCTCGCTCGAGCCCTGACCTCACCGAAGTACACGTCGCCTCATCCCACGATCTTCAGCAACCAGCCACCGACAAGGAGATCGCGCCCATCATCGCAGCGTCAGGAAGTGACCTCCAGCTCCAACTACCCAGATCTGATGGAAAACGGGGCGGGTCGGCTGAGAAGGTGACGGAGCGGCAGCCGACCGAACGGCTAGTGACTACCGATCGACAGACAGATCGACATGTCGAAAGGAAGAGGAAGACTGAGCGGACAACGGAGAGGATTACGGAGAGACAGGCCGAACGACAATCTGACCTGCCGGTGGAGAGGGCGGAGTCACCGGTATGTTTATCTCTCTCTCTTTTTTTTTAAAGGGACAGTTGCAATTAAATTTCGAATCGTTAAGGTCCCACCTCGCCGCATCCACCCGGTCTCTTCCGCCGATGTGTTCTTCCCGAAGGTTGGCTTCGACAACTTTAACAACCTATCTTTTTTAGCACCGCTCGAGCCCAAAAATGCAGCACGGCTCCAAGGAGTCGGCCCCGGCGAGCAACCGCAGCCCCGAGCACTCGATCGTCGACAAGCCCAAGCAGCTTGTCAAAAGCCTCATGCAGGCCGTCAGCAAGAAGGTTAGAATTTGCTGGAATTTTGGACCTTTTGATTCCAGCCTTCCCTAGACAAGAGCAAGGAACTGAGCAAGGACAGGACCCGGAAGCTGGTATCGTTTACGCTCTCTATCTCTCTCTCTCTCTCTCTCTCTCTATCTCTCTCTCTCTTCTCTATCTCTCTCTCTCTCTTTCTCTTGCTCTGTTCTAACGCCTAATTTTTTTGGACGAAAATTGTCATGATGTACCTACAAGCAATTTTTCAGCCCCGCGCCAAGCTCGGCAACCGGCTCGACGTCCTCGAAGAACAGGAACGGGCCTTCGACGACATGCCGACCGGCAAGGAGACAGCGAAGAGAAAGAAGAAATCGACCTAATCACCCCATCTCGATCACTGCTTTCAATTGAACATTTCTTTTCGTTAACCGCAGCAAGAGAAGAATTCATCTGGATAAAGACTTGTGTTGCCATTGCGGATAAGAATAAATGCTTCGAAATATCGCTTGGACCTGATCCGAATTGCACCAGTTTTTCGAAGATATTTTTCACCGTCCCAGAGAGGGAGACAGAGCGAGTGTGAGAGAGATAGGCAGAGAGAAAGCGAGAGAGAGAGAAAGAGAGAGAGAGAGAGAGAGAAAGAGAGAGAGAAACAGACGGAGAGAATAAGTAATAAATAATAAATTTGCATCCTGAGTTTTTTTGCATTTCCGGCCTCGAACCCTTAAAATTCCAAGCCCGCGACACCATTTACAACTTGACTATGGTGGACTGGAAGATGTTCATTTTTCTCCTATCCGTCGTCCTGCTGCTCTTTGGGATTGTCGATGCACATCCTCAAATGTATGCTAATTTGCTTACCTTTAAGCTTTCATCTCATCAATCTTTCACGCTTTCAGCCTCGCCTCCGAGGGTGAGCAGCCGCTCGTCGCACCGGCCGAGGCCGCCAACCCAAATTGCAGTGCTTCCGGGATGAAAAAAACTGAAGACGACGCCAACGAGCTGGGTATGCTGTAGCGGACCACTGACAAAACTTGCCGTATTCTTTAGGAATGTTCTGCATTGGGCTGATCGTCGGGATCGTCGGCGGCGTGTTGGCGACGGTCAGCATCACCGCGCTGTATCAGAAGAACAAGAAGAAAGTCGGGTAGGAGAGTGAGAAAGAGGGTTGGAGAGCGATTGAGAGAAAGCGCGGGTGGGAGAGATAGAGATAGAGGTCCAGCTCCAATTTTCAGACGCGAGCCAAGCCCCACGACCCCGGGCCGCGGATCGGGATCCTCCTCCCGCGAGCCGCTCTCCCATAGCCAATGTGCAGAGGTGTACAGCGAGCCGCTGTCGTCGGTGATGGAGGAGCGTCGCCCCCGGGCATCTCCTATAGCGTCACCGGTACGTTTTGCGGCGGTAGAATAACAAAACGCGCCCTTTTTCAGAAAGCCACCAAGCGAATGACGGCCGATGCGTCGGCGAGCGCCGAGAAGACGAAGGTGGAAAAGGTAACGACCGGAAGTGAGCAGCTACTGACCTTTCTAGACTCAGCCCTCCCCCTCCTGCCGCCCCGAGACTAGATTCGAGCAGCACAAGAGCCGCATCTCGATTGTCGAGACGATCACCAAGAAGATTGGCAAAAAGGTGGGGCTCCTGCAGCGGCCTTGAAGCATGACGTCTAGAGATCCGTGAGCAGCACGCAGAACGATCCGACGGAGGACTCGATGGCCTCGAAGCATTTGGTGGGGGTTTCCCTTGCTTTCTAGCTCTTGCTCTCCCGCTCTCTCTCTCGCTCTCTCTCTCTCTCTCTCTCTCTCTCTCTTTCTCGACACGATGAACATTTTTTTCAGCCACGTCCGAAGCTCGGCAACAAGACAGACATCCTGGAGGAGCAGGTAGGTTGCTTTCTCCAGCTCTTTCTAGATCTCTCTCACTCTCAATCGCTCTCTCTTTCTCTCGCTCTCTCTTCCGAACTCTTTCTTTCTCTCGCCTATCGTTTCTTTTCCAGGAACGCGCCATCGACGACTTCCCCTCCAGCGAAGACCCGACCCTCCGAATGGCCAAATAAAGTTGCAACCTATTCGCTGTGTGATGTTGTCATTATTTGTTGGGCTTTCTTGTGGATTTTTCTTGGAATCGATACGGACGAAATCTTTGCGATAAACCGGTTTTTGGGTGAGTTGGAACAAAATTCACGGAACTACAAAAGACGACAAACTACAGAAGATAAATACTAATAAAAAATTTGCATACGAGACCCGATTCCGAAGGACCAAAACTGAAAAAATTCTCCATACGTCGATGCGAAGCTAATGGGCGACCGCTGGTTTCTGTGCTTCTACTTTTTCTATATTCAAATTTACCCGCTGACGGCCCAACAGGAAAAGGTGGTTGAGGGCCTTACAGAGCAGTACGGACTGCACTAGGGACAGTTACCAAGCATGTACGCCTAATTTGCAGTGTGCCTTCGTCTGCTATGCGCAAGACTGGCTGACGGAGAACAACTACACGACCGAGCAGTTCCCCATGGTGCGTCTGGAACTCTCTCGCTCCTTATCTATCCTTCTCTCTCCCTCTCTTTCTCCCTCCCTCTCTCTCTCACTGGCTCTCTCACTATAAATTATTTTAGTGCGCCAACTGCCAGCGCTTCACGGAACCATGTACGTTCAGCGACCTTCTTACGCAGATGGAGGAGGATCACAAAACAATGACGTGCACGCCGAAAGCCGTGTTTTGTGTGAGCGCTGTGAACGTGAGAGGGCGAGAGAGAGAGCGATAGAGAGGGAGAGAGAGGAAGAGGGCGAGAGAGAGAGCGAGAGAGAGCGAGAAAGTGAGAGAAAGAGTGAGAGAACGGGAGAGAGAGAAATTTCGTGCTTCAAAAGTTTTTTAGCAACTTATGACTTGGAACGCACATTCTGAGCTTCCGGCGCCTACCTGCATCCAGCCGGTCAACCTCGGGTCTGCAGGTTTGGTTCCGTTTTTAGTACCAGGTTTTCGGTGTCCGGTACACCCCTATTTGCAGAGCACGAACAATGGGCGCTGTTCCCGTTCAACTTTTGCACGAGGCGCATGCTGGCCACTGGGGGATGTCCGCTAAAGCATCTCGGGTACGATTTAAGTTTCCGTTAACACTCTTTTTTGTGCAGAGACCTGGAAGGTTTTGAACATCGACGGCTGCAGCCGAGTTTCATCACGCAATGCGACGCTGGGATTGCCGTCTCGGGGTACTGTAGAGCGTTTTGACATTCTTGAACGGGAAAAGTCTACAAAGTTTTATTAAAAACATCAATGGCCGTTTTTACCAAAATTTCAACTTTTTAAAACATCTTAAATTGGCTACGGTTTACTTTATCCCCCCCCAGCCGGAAGTTTTTGGCCATAACTTTTTTATTTTACATTATTGTAGGCTCAAATTCAAACTCTTAGTATATTTTTCGACGCTCTATCGAATGGCGTTGCGAAAATCCCGACAAAATAAGCGAAAATACCGACAACCTTCGGCTGTGGGGGGGGATAAAGTAAACTCATACCCTTAAATCTTTTGAGGTATCCCCCATTAAAGTTTGTTTTCAGACTCGTCGTGGCAGCGACGGGACCAACTCGCGCCTCCATGTTTGCCCCGGCAGCCTACGCCGCCTGCTCGGATTGAAGGCCGGGGAATCGCCGTCGTTCCTCCCGGACGATCCGGGTACTGTCACGAGGGTATGTGGTTTTGACTTGGTGTGGTACCTATTTCTATATTCAGCTATGCGAACCCGGAGAAGAGCCCCCACGGAACGGAACCACCTGTGAGCCGCGTCCAATTTGCGGCCAACTGTGAGCCGAAGGAAAAGCTTTTCTACGCAGACGTCGAATCTTGTAGTCTACTACGCCCGGAAGGCGAGAAATTGTGGACCGAGTGCACGCAGGAATGTCGTTACGAAGGGCAGCGTAACTACGATAATTGCACCCTCCTCGACATCCTACACGGGGAAGGGCCGACGGCCAAGATCTACTCGGTCTACCGGAAAGAGGTGAGGACTATACCTTTCATGGTAAATTTAAAGCCAGTCAGAAATCCACTGAGCATCACCTTTAGTCCGGCCCTTACGCGACGCTCCTTGAAAATTGGATGAACGTGATGTGGGGCCGAAATTTGGCGCAAGATCACGCCGATCTTCCGCAACTCGCCAGGCAGTACCCCCGATGCGTGAAGCCGGATCGATTGATGACGGTTAGGCGTTAGGGGTGGGAACGACTCCAAAACGTACAGAAAGAACAACGAGACCACGTCACCAACGACTTTCTGCTGAACTGCGACCTGAACCCGTTTTACCAGCGCTACAAGGACCCGGAGCTGACCATCGAGTTGCAGGAGTGCGGCCCGGGCGTAGATGCGTCTAAAGTAAATTTTTAACTTTTTCAAGAAATTTTGAATTTTGCTTAGGTCCTCTGCACTTCCCCGCCCCCGGCCAGCACGACTAGCACGACGACTTCTACAAGTTCTACGCCCCCTGCGGCCCTGAATACGATCACAAACGTTACGGTCACAAAAACGACCCCCAAGCCTCAAAAGGCCCAATCGACGTGGAAGGAGTTTCGGAACAGCAAGACTGCGATGAGTAGGCTTTTAAGCTGGTGTTTTTGCATTATCGCGGGGGGGGGATCTTAGCACAAATTAAGTCTAGTTCAAGCGGAAAAACCATCTGAAAAACGACAAAAAATCTCAAAATTCGAATTTTTTTGTCGAAAATGGGCCAGCTTTGGTCGAAAAAGCGATATTGTTGGTATTTTTTCTGAATCTGATTTTCCGATTCGGTCTAATAAAACCTCAGATAAGATAAGACTTTTGAAATTACTGATTTTCAGCCCTGATCATTGTCGGCTCGCTGACGCTGCTCCTCGGCAGCTTCGGGCTGGTCATCTGCCACATCAGCAGGAAGCGGTGTTGCCGGAAGGACGAGGAGGCAGGGTAAGTTTCTTTCTCTCTCTCTCGCTCTCTCTCTCTCTTTCTCTCTCGCTCTTTCTCGCTCTAGTTCTCTCTTCCTCAAAAAATCTGACGCTGAGTTTCAGCATCACCCCGAGTGCCCAGCAAGCCCAACTCCCCGAGACGCCTCAATCCCCCGATGCTTCCCCAGCCCCCATCAACTCCGGCGAGGTGATTAGCGGCAGCCAGGAGCGCGAGACTCCAGCCGCAACGCCCACAGGCAAGCAGGCGGGCGGTAGTCAGCCGAGCAGCGCCGAAGCTGATCAGGACCCGCAACGGAGGGTACGGCAATTCGGATGTAGAAAAAATAGCTTAAGAAAATATCTGCCTTAGCCAATGGTAAATATATCTGCTAGCTTGCCCTGATCCTTGAGATCGCGTCACCACGAGCTTTTTAGGTAATCGAAGCCCTCAAAGCGGAGCACAAATCGCAGCGGAATGTGAAGAAGCAGACTAAGAAGCCCAAGGAGCGGACCAAGGACCGGGCCACGCTCGTCACCGCCGACTCGCGCTCGCGCACCTGCGACGTTGGAGGGGTACGGTATTTTGGAGAGACAGAAAGAGAGAGGGAGAAAGAGAGGGAGAGAGAGGGAGAGAGATCGGCACCTCAATGCTACCCCTTTCCAGATGACAACCCAAGAAGCGACCCGCGATCACTCGAAGCACTCGAAACACTCAAAGCTGAACGCCATCTCAAAGTCGAGGAGCCGAAAAGGCGGAAAAACCGTCACCGAAAAGACGATGGTGTCCAAGCGGAAGCCGCGTGCCCGCCTCGGCAACAAGCTCGATCTGCTCGCCGAGCAGGTATGCGATTTCAGCATGATTTCAGTTTATGCGGATTTGAAAATTTCAATCGATTTTGCCTTCTCAGTCCCTTTAAAAATCTCTCGACCCCTAATTTCCATACTTTCCAGGAGCGCTTCATCGACGACATGACGACGACGGTGGCCTGATGAGACCCTCGAGGCCACAAGCTAAGACAACCGCTCAAACTGACTATTCTGGCAATGTGTGAAATGTTCCTGACTTGTTTCCGCCGGATTTTGCCCCTGTAGCTTTTTGCCTGTCGATTTTTGAGATGTTAACCGTTGCCCGGGTATTTGCTGTTAAGCGAAAAAGAAGAATTCATGACGATAAATGTGTGTTTTGCATTATACGCTAAGCTACAGTACACTGCCCTACAGTATTATGAATAAAGCGTGATCATGCGCTACAGTACGTCACAGAACGCTACAGTGCCATTCCGTTAATTTCGTGCTTTGCTATCGCATAAGAACACGACGTTACAGTACGCTACAGTACGGTATAGGCAAGTACTAAATTTTCGGTAGTACGCTACATTACGTTGAGGTATTATGACGCAAACTGTGTGTTTTTGAGCACGTTGATGGTGTTTGAAAGTTACAGTACGCTGCAGTACTCTGTACTACAGCATAACAGCGCTATCTAACACAGCAGTACGTTATTCTGCATCGTATTCTACGAATAAGTGTTAGGCGGTTGCGTACAAGTCATACGCTGCACTGCTGAAGTATTCAGATACAAAATGTTATGCAATGCTCAGATACTCTACAGTAGCATAAAGGTTACTCCTTATTTTGTCTTGAAGCGAATGCTACGCTACGTTATAGTACGCTACAGTACGGTACGGCAGGAAAAACGCTCTCATACGCTAGAGTAGAGTACAGTACGCTTAGTTTAGCTCGATGCTGATGCTGCCCTACACACAACACAAACCAAAAGACGACCGAACAAAAAACGAAAGATGCTACTATAGTAATTTTCGCTATGTGTAGTGAATAGTATTGTAATGTCATAAATGTGCATTTCCTTAAAACTTGATCTTCGATAGTGTTTACTTTGAAAAAACCCGTTAAAGCAATTTTCAAATTTTTTTTACTCGTTGATTGTGCCGAGATTTTGATTTTTTCTTCACAAACATATCGGACGCCAGTACCACATGCGGCGGATCCACTAAAATGAGGGTTTTTTCCTATTTATGATGCGCTAATTCCTTCGAGAAAATAGATTTTCTACTTGTTATTGAAATAACTAACCGTGGTGAAGACCGCATCGTACAGCTTTGGCGCCATGGCGATGAGCAATAGCTGTGGGAATAAGGGGCTGAAAGAATTTTTTGTTGAGCAAACGTGGAGCTTTCGAGGTCTGGCCTGCTCGGTTCTTTTATTGTATTTTAATTGGGCCCTTTTTCATTACGGGGGGCGAGGTATCCGGGGGCTAATTTTTTTCGATAAGCCCAGAAGGACCTACCAACCTATTAGTAAGTGTTTCACTAGTGTTTTTAGTAAAATTAAACCATATTTTATGTAAAAACAATTTAAAAATAAAAAAAAATTTCTGTGTAAAATCTTGGCTGAAATTTATATGTCTCGTATTTTTTAATCAAATTTGTAAAGCTTTGACGTCTAGGTGTAGTATAAAAAACATGTAGAAAAACGTTTCCTATTTATATTATTTTGAACCCCCCCCGATAATGCCAAAGCACCTGAAATTGATTGAGCAATGGAAGTTGCGCGCATTATGTCGCGGGCGAGTCAAAATCAATAGGGAATCCATAACCAGCGAAATCCATAGCACAGCCGTGAAAACTTATATTTATCTCTCTTTGGCTAAACAGCAATTTTAAGCGCGTCGCGTGTCGCGGGCGCGGCGTAAGCTATAGGGAATCCATAGACAAGCCTTTCCCAAACCTTGAGTTATACAAAACTACGAAGAACAAACCTCCAAAAAAATTTCTTTCTTCCCCAACGCAAGTAATTGCTTGTAGAGATTCTGCTTATTCTGAAAGAATGCATTTTGATTGGATATATCCACACGCAGGCTTTTAGAACTTTATTTATGGTTTCGGTCCTTTTTATGTTTCTTTTAGGCGACTTCGAGCTATCGAAGATTCAAAAACGCAAAAAATCATTGTGATCAAAACACCGCGCTTATCTAAATCTGCCTTGAACGCGTCGCGGTAGCATTGCGCCTTGTGAATTACAGTTCGTGTTCTTCAAATTTCTAACATTGCTGTCAATTTAAACTGATTTTAACTGACCTGTTAAATTTTTCTTCGGGCCCCTGTTCTCTCCTGGATTCCATGTCCGCCACCGCGTGCTGTAGGGCAAAATCTTGTCAACAACGCGTCGCGGTACTAAATGTGTTTAAATAATTATTAGTTGTTTTACAACCTTTTAACGGCTAACTTTTGCCCCTATTAACAAAGCCATGCATACAACGTTTCTGCGCTTTTGTCTTACAAAAATAGAACGATTTTCAGCTAATTTACGCTTTTTGTGAACTGAGACAGACTGAGAATTTACAAAAATTAAATTTCTAGCTTTAAGCTGCTTCCAAAACTGTTTTGGGCCTCAAATATTATTCAATTTTACCAAAACAACCTTCTTAATTACTTACCTTTTTGAGTAACCAAGCGTTTGCCCTGTGTTTCCAAGACACTGCCATATACAGCAGTGGCAGATTACTGAAAATGACGTTTTTGTAGTTGAAGTCATCGAAATGGGGTGCTATTTTTGGAGCGAAAGAGAGAGCGAGTGAGAAAGAGAGAGAGAGAGAGAGAGAGAGAGAGAGAGAGAGAGGGGAGAGTGAGTGAGAGAGGGCGAGAGAGAGAAAGGGAGAGCGAGAGCTAAGTATTCTAAGAAACCTATAAGAAATTTTATATGAATACTTGTAAATTACCAAGGATTTTTCGAAGAATGGGATTCAAAAAAAATACCTTTTCAAAAATGCCATTTTCCATTTTTTTCATTCTTCATCCGGCGACCAGAAAAACCGCGTAGCCGACCCACGCCACTCTCGAACAAAAGGGGCTGACTATCGCCGCGTAGATGTTAAGCCATCCCGCTTTGTGCCGTATGCTGAAAGAAAATGGGCTTAGGCTAGACTTAGGCTTAGGCTTGGCTCAGGTTTAGGCTTAGCTTAGACTTAGCTTAGGTTCAGCTTTGGGTTAGTTTAGGTTTAGCTTGGGCTTAGCTTAGGCTTCGGCTCAACTTCAGCACTCGAAACTCACTACACTCACCGAGAGCTGCCGGAATTTGCCAGTTCCGACAACCCATTGTAGGTGGACAAGCAGCGGGCACGCAGGAGCACGATGGCGTCCCCGACCACTGTAAAGTTGAGATGTTTTGTTCAGATGCGATATGCGGCGAGATATCTCGCATCTGAAGAATCCATCGGAATTGAAACATCCCAGATGCGATAGACAGGGTTTCCCAAAAAAACTCTCGGCATTTGGTCGTCTGCCATCCGCTCCGGACGAAATTCTTACCAGCGATTGGAACCCATAAAAACTATGCGCAACCGAATTTTCTAAGCAAAACATTGTACAACAAAAAAGTTATATTTAATGACAGGGACTCATTTTTCGCTATGTTTTTGCAATTAGCATGCCAATTTCAGGTAATTTTCCGAAAACTGGTGATTCGGTCGATCTCAGCCAATTTTAATTGCAAAAAAGTGATGTGAACCCCCAATTTAGACAAGATTTTCGTAAATCAAGTAAGTTTGTCCGCCTGGGAAAAAGTCCCTCGTCAATTTTGCTAATCATTTCGAGGTCCCAAAATTCATTAAAATCCTAGTGAAATCGGCTCTGCTTACAATTCAAATCGGCTTTGTTAGCAAACTTGGGTGCACGTACTAGTTTTTATGGGTCGCGATTGATGGTAAAAATTTGGTCCCGATCCGATAGAAAACGGCGGGGTTTTTTTGGGGACGCCGTGTAGATAATCGCATCTGAATTGGAATCTGACCCACCGAGATGCGAAATAGCAAAAGTTACGACTTTTTAGACCTGGGTATATTTAGCAGAGCTTGGAAACCGCTTCGAAATCAGCGCAAAATTCTGCACAAGAAAGGCTAGGCTAAATAGCTAAAAAGCCAAAAACCGAAACCCGAAACGGCGATTCCACTCAAAATCCTCTCATTGTTAGGCAACCTACATATGCTTAGAAGTATCGTTCGATGGCCGGGGTTCAGGGCCGCGTCCCGCCAAATGATTACAATCATTATGACGGCGACGAAAAACGTCGGCAGGTCGACCAAGGTGGTCACCTCGACCGCGTAGTAATAGGAACTCGACGAATCCGAACATTCTCCACGGATTTCTGAAAAATTCGCATCTATGACTACTGAAATTTTCACAGAAAAAGTGCAATTTTTTGAAGAAAGGAAACTTGGCCTTGTAGAATGGCAAAGAGCATTAAAAAATATACTAAGAGTTTTTGTTTGAACCTAAAATGTTGTAATAAAAAAAATTTAGAACAATCACAAAATAACTTTTGTGCATATAGTTTTTGATACGTTCGCAGGTTTTTCGATAGTTTGAAAACAACAAACGATAGAACAGCAAAAAATGTATGACAATATCGAATTTCATCTCAAAACAGCGTGATATAAAATAATTCTTAAAATAATTCTATAAAAGAAGAAGTAGCTTACCGCGATTTCCGCATTAGAGCTTTTCCATATCAATAAATCCATATTTCCATATTAATCATCAAATTTATTATCAATAATGCAGCGGTAGCATTGTGCCGCGCATTTTAAAGCGGTTTTTTAGAAACCACTGATTTGGAAAAATCACCCAAGTTGAGATCGAAATCTGAAATTGATCGCCGATTTTCTAGCATCGTCAACAACGCGGAAAAATGCAGAATTTTTGAAAAGGATTCTTGCAATTTATCAAATTTATGTTTAAAAAATAAAAGGGTAAGATTATTAGGTAAGAAAGATTAGGTAAGAATAATAAGATTAGGTAAGAAAATAAAAGGGTAAATATTTATACATAAACGATCGAAAACCTAAAAATAAAGAGTGGAATAAGTAGAGTGCGGTAAGATCCTTAGGGTACGGCAGTTTTTGTCATATTCTATAGCAATATACAGAAGTAAAATACCAAAATAGATTTATGAAAATTCATTTGAGAAGTTTCATAAATTCAAAGTTAAGGATATATTTTAAATATTATACCTATATGATAAAAACTCCTCTAATAAAGAGCGGATTAACCAGAGTAGTGAGGATCCAAAGGTATGGTATTTCTTGTCAAATTCCATAGAAATGTAATAATATAAATAAATGACAATATATATATATATATATATATTCAAAAAGTAAAAGGTCAAAAATGAACCATAAACAGTTATAAGGATCGAAAATCTAATAATCAAGAGTGGAAATAAGTAGCTTACGGTAGTTCTTGTATAATTCCATAGGAATATTTGAAACCCCAATTTTTTCGATGGTTCCTATGGCCAATTGGAGCTGAAACGAGGAAATTGCTATTCGCAAGCGAAAAGCAAAATAAGGCCTTTCAGGGGTGGCAACACCCCCTGATGCTGCCCCAATTTGAATACTGCCCCAGATTAATCACCCGCGCCGCGCCCCGGCGCCCCTTTTTGCTTCAAGATGTGCAGAACGGCCCGGGCCCGGGGAAGGCAAGAAAAATTGCCCTCCAAATGTTGCGACCAGACACGTGCATGCAAAAACGTGGCCCAAATCTTGGCTACGGGAAATTGGGGGAATGTACGTTGGAAATATGGCCAAAACAGGGACAAGTATTGGCCCCGGCGACTTTGGTGGAAAATCTATTTTGAAACGTGAATTTCAAGCGTAAAATCCGTGAAAGTAGCGTACTTACAGTCCTAACTTGATAATTACTAAATGTAAATTATAAAAAAAAACAAAAAATTGTAAGTTTTTAATAGTCTAGTTCAAGGTGCGCGTCCATTAAAGGGATTTTCCAGGTTCCCTAGCGGGGTTAGCCGCGCCGCGACACGGCACGCACCTGCTGTTTTTCCGCTCTTCGCGCCGCGCAATGGCCAAAAGGCATTAAAAATTGATAAAAGGAGATAGTAAAATACAATAATAATTCACATTTCATCAAAATATTTATCAAGTCTACAAACCCGAATCAGCAAGACCCGATTTCAGTACAAAAAAAAACATCAAACAAGTTATCTCCTAAAAATCAAAAATTTGGTTTTGAGCGTATTTTTATTCGGAGACGTCCTGCTCGAATTCTGCGAGTTTCGCAAGCTTTGGCGTTTCCTCTTTGAGTTCCTGCAACTCCCAGCTGTCGCTTCTCACAGTTCCGGGCTCAGAGACGGGTTCTTCGGTACCAGGAAGCACGTCGAGGTGATGGGCTCGGTATGGGAGATTTGGGAGGGAGTCTGAAAGAAACGGATTTAGCTTTGTCAGGTAGTTCATAGCAGAATTTCTGCTCTTTTTAAGGTCAAATTCCGGCTCAAAATCCATTTTAGCTGATGCTCAAATCCTTTTTCAAATTGAGCACCAGATATTGTTATGAATTTTAAACTTAAACTCACAAGAAGTCGGCTTCTCCGATGCCGTAACCGACGAAAAGGTACGGTAGATACGATGCATTTTAGAGGCAACTGTAACCGCTATCCAGTGTATGCAGTAGATGAGCATTTGCAGGAAGGTGATGATCGACAGGCCGAGGAAGAAGCCGAATTGACCTGGAAATCCAAATAATCTTAAATTTTGTCAAATTTTTGGCGCAGGGAAAGCTATCAGCGATCATTTAGGAACTTTAGAAAATCCGAAAAAAAAACAGGAATTACCGTACCTCCAATTTGGGACATGAAACCCGGCACGGAAGTTGTGTAGGATTCTTTCACGTACTCGTACTGAAAAAGGTTTAAAAGTCCTGTTTTACGCGGCAAGAAGAGGGAGAGATACATCGAGAGATAGAGAGCGAGTGAAAGAGCCATAGAGAGAGAGAGAGAGAGAGAGAGAGAGAGATAGCGAGAGAGAAAGCGAAAGAGCGACAAAAAGTGAGGCAGACTCTTACTTACCTGTAAATCATTATAAGAAACTTCCAAATTGTATGCGTAATCGATAAATCGATCGATATTTGGATTTTGCTGCAGGGATACTGTGTAGTCCCATCTTTTACAGCCCGGAATACACTAAAAACGCAGATTTTAAAAATTTGTATTTACGATCTCCTCATTTACAGGCGAAAATTGCTGCTATAATAAAATGTGGAAAATCAATTTAATGGAATGTGGAACTTACGTTTTCCGTCACATTTGCATTATCCCAAACCAATTGGATGTGATTGTAGTAATTTTCAACGATAATGGCCGGATCGCAGACCTAAAATTGCTTTAAAAGTAGGCTTGGGCTTAGGCTAGACATAAGCTTAGGCCTGGGCTTAGGCTAGGCTTCGGCTTCGGCTTAGATGAGATGTAAGCTGAGGATCAAGCGTAGACTTAGACTTAGACGGGCGCTTTGGTTTAGGCTTAGGCTTCGGCTTAGACTCAGGCGTAGGCTTAGGCCTACGTTTATGCTTAGGCTCAGGCTTGGGCTTAGGTTTAAGCCTAGCTTCGCTTAGGTTTAGGTTCAGGCTCAGACTTAGGCTCAGGTTTAGGCTTAGCTTAGGCTTAGGCTTATGCTTTGGCTTAGGCTTACCTCAATCCCAGCCGGCAACTTGCTGACGTTGGTCATATAAGAAAGCGTACAATTGAATGGCACAACGATATTCGACTCCAGCCATCGTCGAATCACGCATTCTGCGTCTTTTCCGAACAACTGAAATGAGCGTGGGCCGACACACTTTTGCTCCTCAAACCAGATCCACCTTGTTTGTGCACACGTCGTTGCTCTGGATGAGTTCCATGAACCTGAAGGGCTTGGAGTTATAGAGCGAGGGATAGAGCGAGAGAAAGAGAGCGAGAGCGAGAGAGAGAGAGACTCAAACCTCGCCGTCAGCCTCATCCGACTGAATTGTTGCGGATATAAGTAATATCTCGGGTAATCTACCACTATATCATGATTGTCTGTGACGTAAACGAGTAGTTGAGGCTAAAACTTGCGCGTAAGCACCAATTCCATGAAATGAGAACCAACTTGAGTATAATTATATTCTGGAGAGGTCATGGTCCTCAGAGCTCTCATGCTCAGGACTAAACGCCCGACGTCGTCTGCCTCAGTCTAAAAGCTTAGCTGTAGTTTTGCACCCCCAATGATTCGTGTTAAGGAAAATATATCCTTAAAAATTACCTGATTTAACGCTGCCCGGGTTTGAAAACAGACGCCGCGCCGGATGACGATCTGATGGGTATAGAATTTAGCTAGAGAGAGAGAGAGAGAGAGAGAGAGAGAGAGAGTGAAGGAGGGAAAGAAAGCAGAAGTCCCCACCTTTTTAGCAAAAACCTCTGTGCAGCAATTCTTGGCATTCCCTCCAAAATTGCAGCTATAGAAAAATTGCTCGCAGGTGTACCCGTATTTGTCCTAAAATTCAAGTTAATGGAACTAGTAAAAATCCATAATTTACATGTATCAAGTAGAAAAACTCTTGTGTCGAATACCCGCGAGACCACAAGCGATAGTATAGATCAAGTTGTTGAAGATAAGAGGCATTATATCTCGAGATTGCATCAATATTTTCGAGGCCATTGCCAGCGATGAAGTATCTGAAGATTGCCCCCCATTAGTCATAAAACCATTAGTCATAAACTCATTAGTCATAAACACCCATTAGTCATAAATTCCATTAGTCATAAACCCATTAGTCATAAATTCCGTTAGTCATAAATCCATTAGTCATAAATTCCATTAGTCATAACCCCATTAGTCATAAATTCCATTAGTCATAAATCCATTAGTCATAAATTCCATTAGTCATAACCCCATTAGTCATAAATTCCATTAGTCATAAATCCATTAGTCATAAATTCCATTAGTCATAACCCCATTAGTCATAAATTCCATTAGTCATAAATCCATTAGTCATAAATTCCGTTAGTCATAAATCCAATAGTCATAATGTTATGAAACTGATTGCTTGGAAATGTTATTCTCTGACATAATCCTGTTAACAAACCCAAAATTAATAGGTTTAGTGATATCCGATCAGGTGCAACCAAGAAGTTTGATTCGAGAACACGACAAGGACCATCACATACACCTCAAAACCTCTAACCTCAAACCTCGAAACTCAAAACTCAAAACTCAAAACTCAAAATCTACGATTAATAAAATTTATGACTATTGAATTTATGACTAATGGAATTTATGACTAATGGATTTATGACTAATGGAATTTATGACTAATGGGTTTATGACTAATGGAATTTATGACTAATGAGTTTATGACTAATGGTTTTATGACTAATGAGGTTATGACTAATGGTTTTATGGCTAATGGATTTCGCCCGTATCTGCAACGTAAATTAAATTGCGTTTTCAGGTTATGGTAAATCAATTGAAATTTTCGAAAAAGATATGATGCCAATTTTTACCTAACAACGTCCAACTGGACATCGTATGTTAGATTTGGTAGTGAAGCGGAAATGTCTCGAAATAGTGGCTCTTCATCGAAAATGTCGGGAACCTAAAAAATTCGTTAAGTGTAGGTGATTACGCTTCAAATGTGATTTTATTTTTTTAGTATTAGTACCGGCAGCAAAATTGAGCAAGAAAAATTTGCTTACCTTCGGGCAAATCGTAATCCCTGGCAGTTCGAGACTGTCCACCTAAAAATGTCTTTTTTTCGAGGTTCTTAATTTTCTTGAGAGAAATAAAGAATTTGAGGCCGTTGCTTACCAATCGTATTGTTGTTGAAGTCTGTGTGGGTCCTTCAATGTATTCCAAAACGACGAGAGTTGTGGTAGTAACCCCACAGATGATGCACATCACCAGCATCAGCCACCAGAAGGCGCGAAGCGGGATTGACTCGGACATTAAGGCCTGAAGAGAGGGCTTAATTTTGTTTAGCTACTTCGACTTCGGTCCTTTAGATCTTGCTGAAAGACGCTTTAAAGGACCGGGGCAGGAGGAAATTAACGCTACTATGTACTTCAGAGACGGCAGAGCAAAATTAGAGCCCAGTTTGCCGTAGCCTCTTAAGTCGATTAAACCAGGTCTAGTAAGCGATCTCCTGATTAAGGGTCTCAACATTCCGGGTGCGCTAGCAGGGTTCTTGAGGCATACGATTTCCAAGAACGAAGCTACCAACCTGAGACAATCCGTGAATTTCCCCTGTCCAAGGCGGAGGCTCATCCTTGTGACATTGGCATGTGCTGACAGCCGGGATATACATTGCCACCCGGTCCTTTGCTATCGACGTGAGGGTTGGCATCTTGCTGTCGATTACGGTAGCTACATCTGGGCATCAACCTACAAAAAAATAAGAGCAAAAGAAATGGTCTCTGCAGCCATAAACTAAAAAAGATGCCGAAAAATGCTGCTGAAGTTGTCAGAGAGGCCGAAACTAGTGACTATACCCATCGCGGGGGGACAGCGATATCCGTCCGGTAATCCGATACCTTTTTAATAATTCATTCGAGTCCAGTGGGCGCGCCCCGGGGGGAGCACCCGAGTCCAAACCACGAGGACACTCTGGAAATCTGAGTCGCCACCTCGGAGGTGGAAACTTGTTCTTTCTAACTTTTAAAGCGTTTCAAAAATGCGAAATGCCGAAAAGCTTCACCTAAATTTTCTACATCAGTTATTTATGTTCTGGAAGGTCATGCAACCTGGCTTACTGTCATCAGCTGTATATGGGATGCAATAATGACCTTCAATGACAATTTATTACGTTATCAACAAGAAATAACGTTCACCGTCTTCAAAAATATAAACAGATATAGAAACCGTGCGATGATATTTAATTCCCTTAATTAAAAATAAGAACCTTGGCCAAAATGGGTCATCAGAAGTAGCAGGATGCAAACAATCTGTTCAAACATCATCATCAACATCATCATCATCATCATCATCATTATCGTCATCATCATCATCATCATCATTAGTATCACCGTCATCATCATCAGCATCAGCAGCGGTGTCCGAGCCTTCCGACCCATCGCGTTCAGCTTCAACTTTCTTAAGCACGCGTTCGGTGTACGTTACATGTTGGACGAAGAAAATCGTGATGATGGTTCTGATTCCTCGCGGGTCGTTGAAATTTTCAACAGCGTCGTCTGTTTGTTCCGCGAGGCAGATTGCCATATAACGACGTTTAGACCTTCCTGTCCCCACTTCAAAGTAGTACTGAAAACAAACATCCTTGTCGCTATCAAAGAGAGTCTTGCAGCAAATATTGCCAAATTCCAAGGGTTTCGGTGAAATAGGGGCAAACATTTATCTGATTCGTTAGCCAGAATGTTTTGGCTATAACTTTTTTATTTTACATTATTGTAGGCTAAAATTAAAACTCGTAGTATATTTTTCTACGCTCTATCGAATGGCGTTGCAAAAACTCAGACAAAATAGGCGAAACTACCGAAAACTATGAGACCCTTCGGCTGTGGGTGGAGTGGGGGTGGGATCCGATAGAGGGTGGCGATCACATGTCCGAAAAACACCTGTCCGAAAAATCGCCTGTCCGAAAATCATCCATCCGTCAACTGTCCGAAAAGTAAATTTTGGACCATGAAATCGAAGCGCGGCTGAAACTTCCCAAGACCTTCAGGTAGACCTCCCGAACCCCCCATTTACCCCCATACTTGTCCTTTCTTACTTCGAAAGTGGTGGCTGCTAGTCATTACTTCGAAAATCATTACTTCGAAAATCATTACTTCGAAAATCATTACTTCGAAAGTCATTACTTCGAAAAGTCATTTCTTCGAAAAGTCATTTCTTCGAAAAGTCATTACTGCGAAAAGTCATTACTTCGAAAAGTCATTGCTTCGAAAAGTCATTACTTCGAAACGTCATTACTTCGAAAAACATGCATAGCACGTACGCTAATTGACACCATCCTGCCTCTACCGGTCCGTTTATTCGATCGAGTTTTTTATAAGTCGCATGAAAAAAAATCGGTAAATTTTTACTTTACCCCCAGATTTTTCGATGTTTTAGTTGGTTAGTACGAACATTTTCTGATGTCACTTCAGAGAGCATCAAAACATACACGGACATTTTTAGGTAAACATCGTGATGCTTCAGTGATTGAATGCAAGGATCATTATAACAAATAAATAATTCGTAGAGATGGGGTAACTAATAATCCTAATACAGACCGAAACTCTACACAGTAATAGCCTTAATAGAATAGGCATATGGTACCTACGCAGGGCCGTAACAAACCCAAATTTCGGGGGGGGCGACCCCAAAAATTTTTCACTAATATGACTAAAACTACAGCGCCGCAGGCAAAATTTTTGAAAACATAGGGTTTTTAACACTAAAACTAGTGTTAAAAATAGCCAAAAACAGCGCCGCAGGCAAAAAAATTTTTGGAAAAATGAAATCATAAGGGTCCCCCCTTATGAACTTTTCGACCTTCGGCCGATTTCGGGGGGGGGCGGCTCGACCCCCTCGCCCCCCCCCCCTCTTACGGGCCTGTACCTACGCAATGGTTTTATCGTCAGTGTCATGAATTTCGTGATATGAACATTCCAAATTAGCATATTTTCGAAGTAATGACGTTTCGAAGAAATGACTTTTCGAAGAAATGACTTTTCGAAGAAATGACTTTTCGAAGTAATGACTTTTCGAAGTAATGACTTTCGAAGTAATGACTTTCGAAGTAATGATTTTCGAAGTAATGACTTTCGAAGTAATGATTTTCGAAGTAATGACGTTCACCCGGATGGGGGTCATAGGGGGGTTGCGAGGGGGGTAGGGGTGGGGGTTGGGCGGGGTGTTCGAATGGGGGTTTTCAGGGGTGTTGAAAAAAAAGTTGAAAAAGTCTGAAACGATTTGAAACCTTAAAAACATTCACTTAAAATAGCCAGAATTTTGCCCAATGGGGGTCTTTGGGGGTTGGAATGGGGGGTTCGAGTGGGGGTCCATTGGGGGTTGGCAGGGGTGTCTGTTGGGGGGTTTTGGGGGGTGTTGCGATGGGGGTCAAAATGGGGGTCCTTGGGGGTAAATGGGAGGGGGTTCGGGAGGTCTACCTTCAGGTACAGTAGCGTGCAAAAAGAAGGCAACGCCCAAGAAGTTCTTGGAACTCGGCTGCCTCGTTATATTTTAACCAAACCGAATGTTTCCTAGTGTTTTCGATGCTGTAAAATTCGATGAGCAGGGTACCAAGCCGCGAAAATGACGTTTAGTAGCTTAAATATGTAATTTAAAATAGCTCCAAAAAATCGACTTTTTCTAAAGGCATTTTTCCGTTTCAAAAACATCAGCATCGTGTTCAGCATAATCGATTTACCCAAAGTCATTGTCGTTTGTGATCGGGTTTGACTTGGATTAGCCGGGAAGCCGCGTTTTCTTTGCGCGAAACGGGTTAAGAAGTGGGTTCGCCCTGGGGGAAAGGTATTGCAGGCGCCCCCATCAGACCGATGGCGACACCTATCGCAGCCTCCTAGCCGACTGAAGACGTCCTAAGCAACCAGAAACATTGACTTTGGGTAAATCGACCATGCTGAACACGGTGGTGATGTTTTTGAAACGGAAAAATGCCTTTCGAAAAAATCGATTTTTTGGAGCCATTTTAAATTCCATATTTAAGCTACTAAACGTCATTTTCGCGGCTTGGGACCCTGCTCATCGAATTCTACAGCATCGAAAACACTAGGAAACATTCCGTTTGGTGCAAAATATAACGAGGCAGCCGAGTTACAAGAGCTTCCTGGGGGTTGCCTTCTTTTTGCACGCTACTGTAAGATATTCAAACCGGATTTTGGAGAAAATGGGAGGTTAGTTTCCGGGGATACGAACCGCTAGTGTATCATAAAATTTTGGAGAGTGACTCATTGAGCTCGGGCAGGCATTCCCTAAGATACGGCCGATGAAACTTGGTTTCGTCACGTTTCCGGGGCTTTCCCCACGTGCGGCTATCTGGTGGCAGTTTCACCTCGAACCTTAGGAACTGGCCAAGTAATTTGAAAAGGGTTTTGATTAGCTGTTTCGGACATTGTTTTTCGGACTAGTGTTTTTGGGACAGGCGACTTTTCGGGCATATGATTTTTCGGAATTGGTATCATAATGTCGAAAATCATAATGTCGAAATTCATAATGTCGAAAATCATAATGTCGAAATTTCATAATGTCGAAATTCAGAGTGTCGAAATTTACATAGGCTGATATTACCGGTGAAACCGCCAAATCCTAGCCAAAAAATTTTCCACATTGTACCGAAATCTTATTTCACGACAAAATTTTTTTGCCTAGGATTCAGGGACTTACCGGAAATTTTAGCTTATTTAAATTTCGACATTCTGAATTTCGACATTCCGACGTTTCGACATTCTGACATTTCGACATTATGAAACTTCGACATTATGAAATTTCGACATTATGAAATTTCGACATTATGAATTTCGACATTTTGAAAATAAGCCGATTTTTCGGATAGACGATTTTCGGACAAATGTTTTTTCGGACACATGTTTTTTCGGACGGGTGATTGTTCTGACAGCTGTTTTTCGGACAGGTGTTTTTAGGACAGATGTTTTTCGGACAGGGGTTTGGCAACCTCCGATAGAGCATCAGACAATATGCTAAACGTTGTGGTTCTAGGCCAAAGCATTTTTAGGAAGGTATAACAAAAACAAAACTAATATCGAAACTGAAGTTAAGTAAACTAGTTTTCGGAATTTTCTATATTTTTTTCGACGACGTTCCCTATCTTTCTTGGACACAACCTAAAAATAGAGCAAGGTTTTCATTTATAAGCCAAAATAATGTAAACTAAGTTAAGAGAGGCTAGCTAAAAATGCAAAAGGTTGAAAACACTAGATCGAAGCCGGTTACAATGTTCCTGTCCCAGAAATAGGCAATCAAGCTTTCAGAGCAGGGTTCCCACCTGATCGTAGCCATTCGGGTTAATCCCACTGTCACGGTAATTAGCTTCGACGGCATTCTTCAGAATATACTCGTAGATCATTGATTGCAGTCTTTGAAGGGCTGAAAACCGTAAAAGAAACTCAAAAGCCGAACCTATGCAATCCTCCCCGACGAGAGTGGTGCTCAAGTATTGCTGGGTCAGTTTCTTCGCACGGTAAATTTTATCGTCCGGGATAGCGGAAATCTCATCGATTTTGTCCCTAAATGTCATTGAGGACTAATTGGTCAATAATAATTGGCAACTATCAGGTTGGAACGAAAGTTCTATCGCATAGATTTTGTAAAGCTGGCTAAACTCGTAGATAGCTCTATTCTGGACAAACGACATGTCATTTTGTAGCTCTCGGCTTGAGCCGTTCCGGGAACAGGGTCTTGGGCCCTCCAAGTCAAGAACGGCCGAGTTACAGGCTCTGGAAGTTTTCGGCACTAGACCAAGCTAGTCCAAAAATAAAGCGGCAATTTTCGGCACATGTCTGTCAAATCTATAGAAATGTATGGGAAATCGGCAAAAGTTCTAAGAAACGGGCCAAATTTCAGGGAGCGATATCTCGGCCATCCAGTGTCCAATTTTGATGATCTTAAGATCTACCGATATCTACTCCTCGAGAGCTATCGATTGGCGTTAATGCTATCGCATGCAAATTGCTCTATGCAGAGATAACTGCAAAACGCTTTTTCGTGATTTTGTGAAAAAATTTCTAGAGCCTGTATCTCAGCCGTTCTTGATTTTGAGGGCCCAGGACCCTCCTCCCGGAACGATTCAAGCCGAGAGCTAGAAAATGACATATTGCATGTCCAGAATGGAGTTATCTACTAATTTGGCCAGCGTTCCAAAATCTCGGTGACAGAACTTTCGTTCCAACCTGCTAGGATTAGATAATCTCCAGAATCCGAGTTATTTGTTCAGCTATTCTGTGATTGCGCAACGGAGTTTGCGTCCGGAATATGGCTTCAACGCTACGCTTTTTGTCAAAATACCACCTACAGTAGCGGTCAAAAAGATGTCCCCTCCGTAAATCGTTTGGTGCTCGAAACCCACAGGCCCAAATTTTATGAAATTTTGCTTCTAGGTCAATTTTGATACGGAGAACCCGATGATGACCACGAAATCGGCTGAAAATTTGATTTTAGTGAAAACTTGGATTTTTGAAAAAACGGTAAAATAAACTTTTTCGTGAGGAATTTTTCGGTTTCAAAAAGTGTCCATCGTGTTCGCAAAGGTCGAAAACCTATGTTGAACATGTTTTCAAACAAGTATCTATTGGAGACTCGTTGCTATGAGGCCGAGAAGTTGTCGCCGCGGGGCGATTTCCTGGCCCCCGTAAGCCTATTCAAGGGATTTTGGCCCGCGCGACAGCAACCTTCGACCGTCAGTATGGTCAGGCCCAGCCCGCAAAAGTGTCGTACAATAACGGACTAGTAGTTTTCGACCCTTGCAAACACGATGGGCACATTTTTGAAACTCGAAAATCCTCATTAAAAAGTTTATTTTATACATTTTTCGAAATCGTTTTGGCGATTAAAATCAAATTTTCAGTACATTTCAATGTTACCATCGGATTCCCCGCAGCCGAATTGACCTAGACAAGTTTGGGCCTGTGGTTTTCGAGCACCAGACTATCTCCTGAGGGGACATCTTTTTGACCGCTACTGTATGTCTGGATCTTTCATTGCGCTACCGGAATGGCTTAGCAAAATCAAAATATATGTATAAGTTCTAAAGAACTATAATTTGTCGGGCTAGATGCATCTAAAGACTATTTTTATCGCGTGTCCCGGCATTAGCGCTTGACAAAAAAATTAGCGAAACACCTAGAGCGGTTGTTTTTGCCTTCCCGAACACGATGGTGAAAATTTTGCTATTCGAAATTGCCAAAGAAATGTTTTCTTTAGAATTGTTTTAGAAATATTATATTCCAATCAGACAACGAAACTTCTGATTACTATTTGTAATTTGCAAGATTTCGATACTGCCGTCGGCTTTCGCGCTATGAAGTGGACCTGGCCTATACTTGCGATAGGCATACCAACCTTGTAGCTTCGCTGAGACGTTCGAAAACTTTCTTATACTTGGGCCGAATCACGGCGCTCCACTGCGGGTTATGACGAAAGATCGTATGCAGGAGCCCTCTGGTGCCCCTGTTATCCAGAATTCCACTCTAAAAACAGCCAGTAGTTGGGTTTTGCAAAATCATACCGTGAATTCAAATTTTTCTTCCGGAAGCGGAACGTACAGAAGCCCAGCAGTTTTAAGCGTTTCCCGCGCTTCCCCGGCGTTTTCCCTTTTATGGGCACGAAACCGCTCCTTCGCTTGCTCGACTGAGAACGCGGGAAAGAGCTCGGTGGAAACCTAAAACGGATTCACTCGGTTACTCCACGGATTCGCAGGCTTAGAAAAGCAGATTTTATGATTCCAATAAAACCCTGGGTTCTTACAATCAAATAAATAAGAATTTACTCTGCGACTGCAAGAATAGTAAGGCTCAAAAAAGCAACAGTACCCGGGAGGGGGTGTAACAAAATCCTCCCGAAAATTCAGGCGATATGGTTTAACCGTAAAACGAAACGAAAAACTAAGAGACCGTAGGAGTTGACGCTCGCCGTATTTGGTGATTTTGGAACTGCATTTGCCAGAAACCGCTACGCTATTGACACCATGTTTGGGAATTTGAACATAGAGACATACCCGAGCGCCCGCTTGCTGGAGAGCTATTGGAATTGGAGGATGCTCCCATAATGCTGGACGCTCGCCGTAGAGATCAGCCAGAAATGCATCATCGTCGCTACATAAAACAGGTTACTTCAATAAGCAGACGGACTTACTCGGCATGAATTGTCGCATATGCCATTGTCGGCCGTTGACGAAGAATACCTGTCGAATTTTAGGTTGCAAATTGTAAATAACACCGCTACGGTGGCGTTTAAGCCGATAAACTGAGTTTTTGGAATAAAAGCGTGTGCGTTTTGCCTGAAAAATGCGAAAAAGTGAGCCCAAATTCCCTAGATTTCCAAAACGAATGCTCTCTATAAGTTCTTAAATCGTAAAACTGTCACAGTGGCCTGATGTGGGGGAGAACGGTTGGGACAACTTTGATTTCAAAACGGACCAACAAGTCAACTTACTAGTTAGACAAGAGGACAGTGCTAAGAATGGGACATTGAAAAGATTTTTGAAAAATTCCACCGGGACAAGAAACAAGCAAGGCCACGTTTTTGCAGATTGCGAGGGGAGACACTCCTTTGGTTGGTCATTAAGAAATAATGGCCCGAACCATAAAAAGATAAGCTCAAACACCAAAAAGCCCTTGCGGGTCGCCCAATGCATGGACGAATCATAAAAGGCGTCGAGGAGGGGCAGGAAATTGAAGCAGCCGGTCAAAGTACCCGCTAAGGCAAATAACTAGGCTCAATTTCAAAGTTTCGGCGGGAGGATGATGATTCACGAAATCCCAGACGGCAACACGGCAAACAATGTAGTTGGGCCCGTCTTCTCGCCTGAGTTTACATCCCCTACTAATTCACAAACTCAGAGAAAGTTGTAGAAATAAAGGTAAATTCTAAAGAAGATTTTTTTAAACTGGTAGGCGAAATAGGCTGTCTAATCGCCTTGAATGATAGGCGCTAAAACGGGAATTTATCTGTTTCAACCGGACCCAGTTTTGCTTTATGGCAAATCCGTCGAAGTACTTCCTTACGCTGTGTATTAGTTTTCAAAATTTTCGGCGGGTTGAAAGTATTTATACATACACGATGCGTAATTCTGGAATGGCAAGAGATCATGACAATTTTTGGTGGGATCAAGCACAAAATCAGTGCAAAGAGAAGCACTTAGAGACCTTCCGCCCGCGCAAGGTATGTTCATCGACAAAGTAGATGGTGTTGATGTTGCTGACGGGTCTCGGATCGTCAAACTTCGGAACCGAACCATCGACGGTCTTCGAGATGCATACGACCATGTAGCCAATCGATGCATTTCCTGATTCTTGGAAGAAAAACTGAAAAAAACTCTTTAGAGATGAAAGAAATCTATGTCTATTAGCATGACTTAAATCAAGGTGTATCGACCCTGCTTACCTGAACAAAATCACTTGGGTTGGCCCCCTCGCCGGCATAATTCCAGATGTTAATGGTTTTGCACAGATAGTCATAGATGATTCCCTGGAGGTTTTGCAGAGCTAAAAGCAGGATTTCGACAACTATAGGGAAACCCACTCTTGCAATCGTTTGCCGGCATCGTGCCGAGGCTTTTTTTGAACTCCTTGATCATCTGTTGTGCCCGCTTCTGCTCGTTATCGGGCAGGTGTGCGATTTTGCTAATGGCGGCCCTGAATATTTGAATTTTTTAAAGCATTTTTTGTTATCCACTTCAAATGAGCTAAAATATTATTTTACAAAATATTAAAATGCTTAATATTAAGTTTTTGGCCATTTCTGGACTGATAGGAAGGAAGCTGGTCACCCCAGAAACCCCCCCCCCCGTTATTGCGAAAGCTTCGGAATTCAATAACAAAATTCTCACCTCGTCTGCTCGCTAAGCCGCTGATAAATATTAGCATATCCGGGCGCAAAATCTTTCCATTCTGGGCTGTGGCGAAGGATTGTATGCAACAGCCCTTGATATTCATTGTTATCCAGGATCGCGCACTAAACCGTTCTGTTGCGGGTCAAAAAATTAAAATCTTACCGTACTCTCAAAACCACTTGGCATCGGCACCTCAAGTAGACTTCTTTTTTTGAATGCTTGGCGAGCGGCTTCCCCGTTTTCACGCTTATGTTTGTCAAATTGTATTATGGCTTCCAGCCTGGTGAGAGCCGCACCGGCACGGCCATTTCGACGCTAAAATTTGAATGTTGCTACCTACGTGATACTGCGTCAAGTTAGGTATCGCGCAAATTATTTGATGTCTAGAACATACCGGAGCGTAAATCCGAGACTCCACCGCATCTCGATATTGCTGGATTGCCTCACTTTTTCGCGCCCTACTCGTACAATTTCCGGGATGCTCCCAGCCGTTGTAGTCGTCAGCCAGGAAGGTCTCTTCTTCCCTAAAAATTGGGTTTCCATGTTTTTGATGAAGAATTAAATAAAAAATAAAAAATAACTAAATCAGAAAAACTCAAAAAATTGCAACCTGAAATGCCTTACTCTGCTGTAGGTGGCGCTTCAGCAGTTTGCGCTGGTTCTGCGGGGGTATATGTCGGCGTGTGAACGTGTCGAATCGGCGCCGATGTCTGAACATGGCTCCGTGGCTGGGCTTCCTCATTTCTGCTGTTGTACCAGGAGGCAGCTCCCCAGGCGGCAGCTCCTAAATTCAGAGGAATTTTTTAGTCTTGAATCGTTTTCTGTTTGTTCTGTTCTGTTTTTGTATTTTCCCGAAATCACCTCTCGAAAAGCCATTTTTCCTATTACGAAAAACCATATTTTCGAATATCAGCTTTTCGAAAATCCTATTTCCAAAAAGTCATATTTTCGAAAGCGCTTTTTTGGAACCCGAAGGCGGAAAATTAGTGGCCATTTCCTAGTGATAGCTGAATGCAAAATAGGTCAAAATTGTGATTTTCGGAAAACCTATTTCGAAAATATGGCTTTCGGAAATGTTACTTTCGAAAAAATTATTTTCGAAAATGCGTATGCGAATCATCCGGCCAACTTACCTACAAGTGCCGCACCCAGACCAACAGTCCAACCCCATCCTTCATCGTCCGTCTCATTTGCATTCCGTCTGGATTCAGGCTTCCGCGAGCCTGATGAATTGTTCATCATCGTACTTCTAGTGCGAAATATCTGAAATACGAAATATGGGTTTTTGAACAATGCTAAAGACAATAATTTATCAGAAAAAAAAAGAAAATGATGGTAATGCTTCTTTTGATACGAAATCGTCAGTTAGTACTATAAATTACCTCGCCGTAAGCGAATTTTTTATCGCATAACCAAACTTTTTCTGCGTTGCTTTGGAAACGGGGCGAGATTGCGCAGCGGCTCAAGCCAAAATGATAAGGTTCCGCGGTTCCGCGACGAAAAGCGGGCGAGCCAAATATTGACGCAACCGGCAGAAGATTTAGAACGGGAACGAAAGAGCTTTCATTAAAAATAGATGATTTATGCGGAAGCGGAAAACACGGAAAGCAGGTTCAGGAAATTTTGATGCTTTAATGCTAAATTTTCAGTATATTAAAGCGTTTTCATTATATTATATTAAGCATACTTTAATGATATAGTATTTTCAGGGCTTATTTTCAAAATGTCGAAATTCATAATGTCGAAACTCATAATGTCGAAATTCATAATGTCGAAATATCATAATGTCGAAATTTCATAATGTCGAAATTTCATAATGTCGAAATTTCATAATGTCGAAATTTCATCATGTCGAAATTTCATAATGTCGAAATTTCATAATGTCGAAATGTCATAATGTCGAAATTTATATAAGTTAAAATTTCCGGTAAAGTCCCCGAATTCTAGGCAAAAAAATGTTGTTGTGAAATAAGTTAAAAAATAGAATGTGGAAAAATTTTTTTTGGCTAGGATTTGGCGGTTTCACCGGTAATATTAGCCTATGTAAATTTCGACATTCTGAATTTCGACATTATGACATTTCGACATTATGAAATTTCGACATTATGAAATTTCGACATTATGAAATTTCGACATTATGAAATTTCGACATTATGAAATTTCGACATTATGAGTTTCGACATTATGAATTTCGACATTATGATACCAATTCTATTTTCAGTATATCATGTTTTTTGAGTAGATTGATCTTTACTTTTTCCGATGAAGCTCAGTTCGCTAGCTTCTTTCCATCTCGTCTTGCAGCCTGAGCAAGTGGGGAGGGATGGGGGTGGGGTCGGATGGAGCAGAGAGGCCATGTGACCATCTGATGGAGTAACTCGTAGGGAATAAAATCGCGAAAGAAAATCCCTCCCCCCCTCAAGCCCAAACCACTAGGACACCTCGGAAATCTGAGCCGACACCGAATCGGGGGTGGAAACATGTTCTCTG